CCTTGCCTCCTACATTCCTACGGCAGCGTGCCCCTCGGAAAGGGTCTTGTGTCCTCTCGCGTGTCTTCCCCAGTCAAGTCCGACAGTACCCCGTTGAGGCCGAGGGGGGGGACCGCATACAGTCGGGGCGCTGAAGAAGGAGCCCTTTTCATTGGGGAGGGGCTCGGTGTTCCTCGAGTGCTTCACAGCTTGCCTTGGGTTTCCCTGAGGTTCCCCATGGAGAATAGGCTTTGCTTGTTATGAGAAAAAGGGGCCTCGTTCCTTAATTTAGGGTCCCTCGGGTCCACGCCCCGACTGCACCCTTAGTGGCCCTGGAAACGACAGGGCCGTTTTTGTTACCGGTTCCGTTTTACCGTTGTTGTTGCCGGTTCCGACGCCGTTTGTTCACCGGTTCCGTCGCCGTTGTTTGACCGGTTCCGGCTCCGGTTCCAATCCTGGAGCCGTTCTGTTGCCGTTTCCGGTCGCCGTTGTTTTGCCGCTTCCATTTTCAAGGGGCATTTTTTTTTGGAAACGGTGAAGGAAACGTCCGTGCCGTTTCCGGGGCCCACGAAGGCTCGTTCCTTGTTTTGCCGCTTCCATTTTCAAGGGGCATGTTTTTTGGAAACGGTGAGAAAACGGCCCTGCCGCTTCCGGGGCCCACAAAGGTCCGGGGTCCCCCGGAAGGCAGGCGCTGCGTGTTGGGGTGCGGCCTTCCAAAGGGACGGGATACAGAGGGGGCGTTGACCTGAGGAACCCTAAAGACGGAACGAGGCCCCTCTTCTCCAGAAGTGAAAGTTCCGGGGCCCACGCCCCGACTGTACCCCGCCCTCCCTCGCGAGCCCCCGTCGTGGTGCGTGCCGCCCACCCTTGGCTGCAGAGTGCGTGGCCGGCGACCGCACCCCCCGAGAGGCCCCACGTGCTGCCGCACACCGTCGGGGCCCTGAAGAAGGAACCCTTTTGGCTGGGGAGGGGCGCCGTGTTCCTTGATTGCTTCGCAGCTTGCCCTAGGTCTTCCTTAGGTGTTCGATGGGGACTCGAGCTTTCACTTCTGGAGAAGAGGGGCCTCGTTCCGTCTTTCGGGTTCCTCAGGTCAACGCCCCCACTGTATCCCGTCCCTTTGGAAGGCCGCACCCCAACACGCAGCGCCTGCCTTCCGGGGGACCCCGGACCTTTGTGGGCCCCGGAAGCGGCAGGGCCGTTTTCTCACCGTTTCCCAAAAAAATCCATGGAAAATGGAAACGGCCAAAAAACGGCGACCAGAATCGGCAAAAAACTGTTCCAGGACTGGAACCGGAGTCGGAACCGGTCAAAAAACGGCGACGGAACCGGTAAAAAAATGGCGTCGGATCCAGCGAAAAAACGGCAAAACGGAACCGGTAACAAAACGGCCCTGTCGTTTCCAGGGCCCACTAAGCCCCGGACTGCCGCCTGCCAGGTGGACCGCAGGCTTCCGCCTGCATTACGGCACACGTGCCCCCCCCTCCACTTAGGAAGCCACAGGTAGCGCCCCACGGGGTTGAGCTGGTGCACTCGAAGAGTCTTACACGGGAAAACAGGCAACCATAACCAAGGGCCACAGGAGGAGACATCTATCGCCTTACATACCCAGAGGGACAGTCATACTGCGGTGTCCACCGCGAGCCCACCGCGCAGCGCACTTACACCGCAATGCACCCCTCGTAATGGACAGGTTAAGCCAATGTGTGAGGCGCGTTCTTTGGTCAGGACAACTGCTTTCGATTGGGGTGGCTCGTCGATGTTAAGAGTAGACTTGCCTCAACGCGTTTCGGCATGAGACGTCAGCAGGCGGAGCACCACGCGAAGGAAGCAAAATGTCAGGACGGAGCTCGCTAATGAAGGATGGTCCACCGGGCATGGCTCCCGTGCATGCTGCCACTGACGCCGCACACTCCATTCCCATGCGTGGCCGTCGGCAGCAAGGCGCGCGCCCGCTTTGATACAGAGGCTATTGGCAAGTGTTCGATCAGCTAGCGAGCCTGCTCACCGCTTGCTGCGGCCTTAGCTCTCGGTTGCTGGGCCCCTTCTCTTACGAGCGCCCAGTGCCTGACCAGCTATCCAGCTGCCCGCGGCAGGTCCCGCCACCGTGCCAGCCCATCATGGTGGGTGGCGGTTGTCCGTGGGGGCACAGGAGGCCGTCACGTGTGACACCTCGTGTTTCCATCTCGGGAGAGCCGTGATGATTACAATGACGATGAGGAGGAGTAGGAGGAGGACAAGGAAGGCAGTCACACGCGACTCTTCTTGTTTTCACAATCTGATGAGCTCCCATGACATTCAATCGGGGGAGAGGAGATCCTAAAATTCTTTTTTTAAGAGGAGAAATAATGCTTGTTCGCAGTACGTTCTCCACACCACTGCTCGCGTAACCATCCCACCCACCCACGCGCAGCTTGGTTTACAAAACCCGTGCGGCGGCGATTGCGATGAGTGTTTGGAGTTGGCTGGTGCATCTCTGCGGCCCTCGCTAGCCCGCGCGTGCTCTCGAGCGCAGTGGCCAAGTACTTTGGCGCGACCGACGCGGCCGCGGTGGCGCCGACCGCTGAGCGTTTCCCGGCGGCACTTCGGTGCGAGTCGGCGATTTGGGCGGGCGCGGTATCGTGGCAACGTCCACAACGGCAGACGCGATGATGACGGTAGCGATGTTGGCGACGATGGTGACAACGGCGACGGCAAGGCCAGCGACGGCGCCGATGTTGATCCCGCCGACGGCGAGGACGGCGTCCCCGCGTCGTTGATGAAGGATTTGGATGGAATTCGACATGCGCGCGCGGCCGACGCGCGAAAGTGGCCCGCATGGTATCATTTGACACGGACCGCGGCCCGTCCCCCCCCAGCACGCGCGCAAAGCCGCTCGAATGATTTCAACGTGCGGCGCGAGGGGCCTGCTTGGCCGAACTGCATGCGCATGTTGAAAAAAAAACAAATGCTTCCCTTGAGAATTTGCAGGAGCGCGAGCGTAGCGATTTTCAGAACTGATGTTGCAAAACCATGTGTGTATGTTTTCGGGGCACTCGATTTTGAATACGCACCAAAGCTTGAGTATTTTAAGGATTCTGGGATGCGCGCGCGAAGGCGCGCGCTTGTGCATGCCGCCCCGTTTGTTGCAAGGTTTTGTTTGTTCCTGCGACGGCTCGCGCACAAGGGCGTTCGAGCGATTCCGACACGTGCGCGCAACAGGCCCGCTTGATAGCATGTTAGGACAAGTTTGAAAATTTGAAAATACCAATGGTTTCCTCAAGACTCCACAATAACCAGAACGCAAGCATGTATGAAAGACGTGGTTGCGAGACCACGCGTTGTTTCATACTATTTCGGGACACTCGATTTGGAGATCCCTACGGGACCGAACCTTCTTGCATGATTTCTGCTTGCGCGCGCGACGACGCGCGCGCGTGCACTTCGTCCCGTTTACGTTGCAAGGGGCTCTTGGAAACAGACGATCTTTGATAAACGGGCGCGCGCGCATAGTATTCCTTGCCGGGGTAAAAGGGGGGGCGCTCTTGGCCTGGTTGGCGTGGTATGTGTTCATATCTCGGATGGACGATGGGGCAGAATCGTAAGTCGATTGCAATACGGAAAAGGGAACTGTTAATTCCGGGGGGTAGGTCGCATCACTCGTTTAGCAAATAGAATCTAGGCGGCGGCGAGGCGACGACGGGGCTGCCACGATGCGGCGACGGGGCGGCGACGGCGGCAGCATAGCCCCCAGACAGGCAGACAGGCCCAGACGACGGGCGGCGACGAGGTGACGACACGGCGGCGATGGCGGCAACATAGCCGCCAGACCGACTGGTTGGCCCACACGATGGGCGGCGACGAAGCGGCGGGGCATCGACGACGGCAACATAGCCGCCAGACCGACAGACAGGCCCAGTTGCTTCGAGGAGAAATAAGAACTCGTAAGTGCGAGCACTGTTTGGGAAACAGAAGGGCTACAGACCAGCACCTGACATTCTAACACGTCCGCATGGTACAGTCACGGTAGCGATTATTCCTGTTGACGTGCGCCTTGCGCCCTCGTTGGTAGCAGTGGACGGAGGAAGGGTGCGACTTGTGATGCTTTGTCGCAGCAGGTTGTGACAGTGCTCTCGCCTGGTGACCTACATGGTAGCTAATTCGCGTGTTTTCTTCGCCGCACCTTGTGCCTCGACGACGACCTGCAACCACCACTAGTATAGTGTCCACAAGGCGATCTTGTCCCGCTCCGTTTCCACACCAGCGTGGGGCCTCTAGAATACAAGTGATCATTCCTCTGGCGCTGTCAGAGCACGTGATGCAAATGGGACGGCCCGAAGGGTGTGCAGGACACGAAGTCGGCGGACCCGTCAGGAGTCCTCCCACTTTCAGGCCCTCATGGACGTCGTCCCGGAGGAAGCTTCAGATTGTTCGGGAGATCCCCGAGGATCTTCTCGAGCGTTGTCATCGAGATCTGATTCGAGATCAGATCCGTGTGGAAGTGGCTGGCGCAGTAGCCCACATGGTCATCCACATTTGCGCCCCCACCCCACCCCCACACACACACACACACACACACACACACACACACACACACACACACACACACACACACACACACACACACACACACACACACACACCTGCGATGCGGGCAGCGTAACTGGAATTCAGGCAGCAAACTCCACTACGAGCTACAATTGTAGAGTTGGTCGCTCTGAGCGTGGCGACTTGCCGTCGTAAAACATTGTCCAGACGTCGGGGAGTGGTCACGAGCATGTTGCGCTGCGGGGTGCCAGATGCAGGCGATAAGGGCGGCAAGGTGCCCACCGACGTGGATGGGGGAGGGAGCCAAGATCACGAGAAGGAAGAGGGGTGGTTTACAGAGCAGCGCACGGGCCGGAATGGCACGCCGCCGACCGGCGCTGTTGCTGCCGGCGCTGCTGTCCCCCTCGTTGTTGGGGCCCTTCTCGCCCGGCGCCACGCGGATCCCTTCCCGCCTCTGCCGCCTCGCCTCGCGAGCGCCAGCTCGGCGCGGGCTGGCCATGGCCGCTGCTGCCGCAGGCGGTGGAACCACGGGAGCGGCAACCCTGCGGGCTGCTGGGCCGGTGTGCCGCTTGCGGTCCTGCTCCGCCGAGATCGCGCCCGGCGCCGCGCGGGTGGACGCCTCCGTCGCGCAGGGCGTCAGCGCGGCTCCCGACAGCGCCGTGGCGTGGGAGGGCGGCGTGCGGCTCTCCTTCCACGAGGGCTGCTGGGCGGGCCTGTCGTTAAGTCGGGTCTGTCCCTCTACAGGGGGAATATTCAAAAAGAGTCAGAAGAAATAGTCTGGGGACTACTTGTTACAGGATTTGTTGACCATTCTGGAATATTTTAGGGGGGGTATGTTTTATTTTTGTCGGAAGCCCCCTGTGGGGGGGCACGCCCGACTTAAGCCTGTCGGGGCAGCTCGGCTCGCTGGCCGGCGAGGAGCAGCGGCTGCTGCGGCAGGCCGCCGCAACGGCGGAGAAGTTCGATTCGTCGGACGACCTGGAGGCCAAGGCGCGGCGGGCGGCCGAGCTGCTGCGGGCGGCGCGGCGCGCCATCTGCTTCACGGGCGCGGGGCTGTCCACGGCTGCTGGGCTCGGGGACTACCGCGGCAGGAGAGGCAAGTGGACGCTGGAGGCTCAGGGGGAAGCGACGCCCTACACGACCGAGTACGAGGCCTTGCGCCCGACCTACGCTCACGAGGCGGTTGCAGAGCTGGTGTCCAGAGGGATGCTGGCCTATGTGGTAACCCAGAACGCTGATGGGCTTCACCATCTCAGCGGCATCCCTTACAGCAAGCTCTCGGACGTGCACGGTTCTGCGTTCACCGAGTACTGCTCAAAGTGCGGTGAGCGCTACGTGCGGGAAACGTACGTCCCAGAGGACAGGGCCGAGGACTTCCTCGCGGGGAGGCTGCCAGGCCCCATGCCGCCGCACATCAAAAGGTGTCCCGGCTGCGGCAGCAATCACTGGACCGGCAGGAGCTGCGAGAAGTGCGGCGGAGCCCTTCGGGACACGGTGGTGAGCTTCGGAGACGGCCTCGAGGAGTGCGTGCTCAGCCCCGCGTTCGAGGCTGCCGAGGCGGCCGACGCATGCTTGAGCCTCGGCAGCACCATGAGTATCGGGCCCTCCAACCAGGTTGTGATCATCCAGAAGGGTCCTCTCATCGTCTGCGTCCGGCAGGACACCGAGATGGATCGGCTGTGTAAGCGCACCGGAGGCGTCCGCGCCTATGGTGATTGCGACGCTTTCATGCGCCGTTTGATGAGAGCGCTGCTGGGCGACGCCGACTGCGATGCGTGGGAAGATTCTCTATCGAGAAAGGCGGAGATATATGACAGCAAGCGCCCCACATCTGGGAAGAAGCGAGGTGACATCTTTGTCAAGAAGTTCTGAGATGGATGTGGAGCGTGCGACCTCGACGAACACCTAGCAGAGCCTTTTTTGTCTATGCGCATGGCAGGTCGTAGCTGTTGGAGTCGCAGTTCCACACACGATGAACATAGAACGCAGGGTGTTGTGATGATGTAGGCTGTGGCCAGACCCACTCATTGCTGGCACTTTACACGGGCGTCCTGCGGGCATCTTGGGGCCTTCTTGGTCTGCGCTGGGTCTCTCTTTGGGGTCGCGTGGGCGTCTTGGGATCCTCTTGCTTGGCATCGCTCGGACGTGTGCCTTTTTTCCTCGGCGAGGACCATCGAGGAGCATCCTTGATTAGTTGTCGAAAAAACCACTCACGAAACCGCAAAAAATCACAGGGAATGGACGTCCGAGCGATGGCCAGTTTGGGGTCGCGTGGGCGTCTTGGGACCCTCGGCGAGGACCATCGAGGAGCATCGAGGAGCATCCTTGATCATTTGGCGAAAAAAACACGCACGAAACCGCAAAACAAACACAGGGAATGGACGTCCGAGCGATGGCCAGTTTGGGGTCGCGTGGGCGTCTTGGGATCCTCTCTCTTTGGGGTCTCTCTTTGGGGTCGCGCGGGCGTCTTGGGATCCTCTTGGGGCCCTCGTGGGTCGTCCCTGGGGCCCTCTTGGGGCCCTCGTGGGCGTCGTGGGATCCTCTTGGGATCCTATTGGGGATCATCTTGGGATCCTCTGGGGGATCCTCTTGGGATCCTCTTGGGATCCGCTTGGGGCCCTCGTGGGTCGTCCCTGGGGGAAAGCGCAGCCCTGCGGAGGCCCTCGCGGGCAGAAGTGGCCCACTGATGGCCACCTTGGGCCGCCGTCGCGGCTTCGGGTACCCCTCGGGAGGTCCCCGGAGGCCGTCTTGGGGCCCTCTGTCAGCGGGCGAAGAACGGTATAACATAAACTTCTCCGCCGTCGGGGACGCCTGCCCCTTGGCGGCTGGAAGTTTTATACCCCTGCGGTGCCACCGTAAGGGTATAAACTTTCCAGCCGCCCTGGGACAGGCGCCCCCGACAGCGAACAAGCTTATGTTATACCCTTCTTCGCCCGGTAACTCTGGGAGGCTCCTTGGGGCTCCCTGGGGCAGCTGTTGGCCCATTCCGGCGCCGCCTCGGATTGAAAGAACAGCGCGCAGAGCAGTTTTTCTGTAAGTTTTGGCAGTTTGGTCCTCTGCTGTGCTCTCTCGCCGTGGCTGGGCCCTCTTGGGCAATCGTGAAGGCGTCGTAAGAGCAGGAGACTGCTCAGACCCCGCCTCCGCATGAGCCCAGGCAACCCACCCACCCACCCCTCCCACCCATTCCTCAAATCCGCGATGTTGGGCCCAGCCGGGGTTGGGGACTACAGGGGGAAGGTTCCCACGCGCTTGGCGGCCTCAAAAAGGTCAGCGGAACACATATGCCCCGGGTGGCGCCAGCAAAATGTATCACATTGTCCCAGGTGAGAGTGTGAACTCACGACACGTGCACCGTGCTTGCCGACGTTGGTATGTGCGCTCAGTGTGACCTTGTCGCGCGTGTCCAACCACATCCAGCAGCTGAAATGTTGAGCGTGCTGGACATGGTTTGGGCTGGCCGTGCACTGCCAGGAGAAGGTTAGATGGATAGACCAATACTCGTACGGCGACGAGGGCGCCGTGGTGAAGATGTACGTGGAGTTGCCAGAAACGGTCCACGGCACTGTCTGGACTTGGAAGGGCAGCGTGGAATGAGCACATCTCGTCAGGGCACATGCGCACTCGTGTCTCCCCAGGTCCACGTGTGATGCATGCTATGCATGTTCTGTGCATGCGCGTGCGGCCGAGCGACAGCGATCGGATCGCAACATGAGTCATTGATGCAGTACGCAGTTGTGTGTTCCCGGACCCGTGGACGCGGCTTGTTCGATGCATGAGAAGTCAGTGTTCGAATTGATACGTTATTATGTGCCCTTGCATAGGTCAAGAAAGAGGATGTGGAGTGCACGTTCGGAAGATTCAGTGTTGACATGCGGGTTCGAGCAGCAGGTGGCTTGTGGTGTGATGGTGTCGGGTTGCTTCGTGGCTCATTCTCAATATCATTCGAGTTCCTCGTCACACTCTCTTTCTCTCTATGTATGTCTCTGTGTGCTTGCTGTTCTCTCTTTCTCTGTCTCTCTATACATATACATATACACAACATGTATGTTCATATGTGTGGTGATCAGTCTATGCGTCTGCCCGCCTGTCACGCCTGGTTGCCGGCTTGCATGTCTTCACGTGTGCGTCTGTGGGGCTGTTGCTTCCTTGTTGCCATGGTAGCATGCGCAGTTGCTTACGCGCATGCATGCGCGAGCGTGCTCGTGAGCGTGTGCGCGTCATTACCGCCAGCTCACCACGCCGAACACATTCTGGCTTGTTTAATGTGGGGGCGGCAGCGCGGCAGCACGGCTGCCTTTCTTCGGGGGTGGACGGACCTCCTACCCTGACACGTCGAGTGAGGAATTGGCCGTTTTCGGTTCGCGAGAGGGCGTCCTGGCCGTCATTTTTGCGGGTCCAGGTCCGTCGGTTTCGGTCCCAGGCCGTTTTCGCTAAGGGGAGGTCTACTAAAGGGAGGTTTGTTCACCGCCGATTTCTGCAGTTGAACGCGCACATTATGTTCACGCTTGCGAGCCGTATCTGTTAGATGCGTTCGAGTGCAATTCCTCGCGTTTGTAAGCCGCAGGGGGGCAGATTTCGGCAGGCGGCCGGATTCCCGGCTTCGCGGGAAAGAGCCGGTTTGGAGGGAGTGTTGGGTTTAATGTGGCAGGTGGCCACGCATTTTGGTTCCCAGGCTGCCGTGTCGGACAGAGAGAGAGAGAGGGGGGGGGGAAACAAAAACGTCGAGAACGCAGGGAGATGAGGGTATTATTCAAGACGCTTCGCGGTCACCGTCCGCCCATTCCAGGTCTCGCCGGACGAGGCGAAGACGGCTCCAAGACGGGATAGGCATAGCCGAACGTAATTTTAGACCCAGAGACGAAGATGGCGCCAAGACGGGATGATTACATCCCGACAGTGGTGATTGACTCCCGCACAGGTGTGATTTGTATTTTGTCATGCGTTGAAGTCCTCCTCCATCCCATCGTCGGCAGGACACAGGTATGCCGTGTGGCTGACCGATGTTCTATTTGTCGATTTGTCGTCGGCCGTGCTATCATTACCAACGGATCAGTGATATGAGCGCTGGCCGTCTTGACCTTCGCTCCGTATCCACAGCAGGAGGCCAGAGATAGCCAGAACGCTGCCCAAGACCAGCCATAGACGCCCCGAAAACGGCCCCAAAAGGCGCCAACAAGGGCCGAAAAGGGCCTGGAGAAGGGCCCCAAAGGGGCCCAATACGGACCCGGGGCGGCCAGGCGGTCCTGTGGACGACCCAAGCGCGAGCATCCCCGCATTGGGCCACAGCCCCGTCCGTCTTCCGGTAAAGACCTGGCCGGTTCCGGGCCGTTTAGGGCCTCGTTTTGGGGCTCAAGTTGGGCCCCAAATCGTTTGAAATTGAGCCCAGAGCGTCTCCAAAAACGGCGTCGGAGCTTACACGCTGAAAGATGCCCCAGGCGAGCCTGGAAGTCAGCCAGAAGGGGCGTCCAGGCGACCCCTGGCGAGGCCAAAATCATGAAAAACTATTGGTTTGGTGTATATGTTTAAAGTTTCCAGTCTGTTCGCGTTGTTGAGCACAAGAGGCGTTCTTGAGGGCCCAAGGAGGCCAAGAGGGGCTCCCGACGGGGTCAAAATCGAGCCCACATGCGGTCGAAAACCGAACTGGAAGCGGACTGAAAATCGATCTCGTCTTAGACGCGGTTCTAGGTGTTCGAGGCTCTCGAGGAGGGCCTCGTGAGGCTCTCTTGGGGCTTCTTGGCGGCGTCTTGGGCCGTCTGGGGACCATCTTGGGCGTCTTGGGACGATCCTGCGGGTCGGCGAGCTAGGAAGTTCAATTCGATTTCCCCCGATGGGGCCCCTCTTACGGCTGTCTTGGGCTGTCCCGGAGGCCTCGTGGGCCGTCTTGGAGCCCTCTTGGGCCGTGTTGGGCCGTGTTGGGAGTCTGTTGGGCCGTGCTGGGGCGATCTTGAAGATCTCTTGAGCAGTGTTGGACGCGCTGAACCTCGAAACGTTGTATATGGGCAAAATGTACGTTTTCTGAAGGAGATGGGACCCTTTTTGCTTGTTGAGGCTTTCTTCGAGAGCCTCTTGAGGCTCTCTTGGGGCTTCTTGGCGGCGTCTTGTGCCGTCTGGGGGCCATCTTGGGCGTCTTGGGACGATCCTGCGGGTCGGCGAGCTAGGAAGTTCAACTCGATTTCCCCCGATGGGGCCCCCCTTAGGGCTGTCTTGGGCTGCCCAGAGGGCCTCGTGGGCCGTCTCGGGGCCCTCTTGGGCCGTGTGGGGCCCATGTTGGGAGATTGTTGGGCCGTTTTGGGGCGATCTTGAAGGTCTCTTGGGCAGTGTTTCACGCGCTGGATTTCGAAACGTCGTATAGGCGCAAAATGTATGTGCTTCTTGAGGCTCTCGAGGGGAGCCTTTTCAGGCTTTCTTGGGGCTTCTTGGCGGCGTCTTGGGTTGTCTAGAGGCCATCTTGGGCGTCTTGGGACGATCCTGCGGGTGGGCAAGCTGGAAAGTTCAATTCGAGCACCCCCGATGGGGCCCCTCGTAGGGCTGTCTAGGGCTGTCCAGGGGGCCTCGTGGGCCCTGTTGGGCCGTGTTGGGCCCATGTTGGGAGGGTTGGGCAGTTTTGGGGCGATCTTGAAGGTCTCTTGGGCAGTGTTGGACGCGCTGGACCTCGAAACGTCGCTTATGCGCAACATGCAACATGTACGTTTTCTGAAGGGGATGGGACCCTTTTTGTTAGTTGAGGTTCTCTTCGAGAGCCTCTTGAGGCTCTCTTGGGGCTTCTTGGCGGCGTCTTGGGCCGTCTGGCGGCGACCGAGCGCCCCTTGGACCGTCTCGAGCACGTCACGGGGCTCTCTTGGAGTGTTCTTGGGGCGCTCGGGAAAGCTTGGAAGGCAGCGCCGAGCAGGAAAACCATTTCTGGGTCTCACCTGGCTGGGACCTGCCCGGGTACTTTTCATTCGGGGGCCCCCAGGGGCCGCCCCACGCGGGCGAACTAGAAAATTGTAAACCAGGCACCGGAGTTCTCAGCACGCTTCTGGCCCGATGGGCCGGCGAATTTCACGAGGGTAAACTAAGGCACAGGTTCGCACGTGCAGCGTGGAGACAGCGCGCTGCGAGGATCTCTGTTGGGCGAGGGAACAGGGTGCGGATTGCTGTGATCTTGATTGCCCAAATGTCACGTGGTACTCTCTACCCTCCGACTTCTACTGTCGACGGGGTGGTACACATTATCGATGTTATATGTCTCATGTTTTATGTTTTACTGCTATATGTTTTACTGTTTTATGGTACCTTCTACTTTCGACTGTTATATGTTTTACGCTCTGGCCTTCTCCTCCTGGCATGCGACTTCCGCCCTCCTGTTCCCCACCCTCTGCTCTCTGCTCTCGCTTCTGCGCTCTTGGTGTTCTGCCCGATGCTCGCTGACCTCGACACTCTGCTCCATGCCCTGTACTCTCTCCTTGCCCTGTACTCTCAAATTCGACCACGTACTCTCTTCGCCCTCTGCTGTCGTCTGTACTGTCCCTGATATCTCTTCTATCTTTCTCTCTCTCTCTCTCTCTCTCGGTGGACCTGGAAGGAGGGAAGGAGGAGGAGGAGGAGGAGGAGGAGGACGAGGAGGAGGAGGAGGAGGAGGAGGAGGAGGAGGAGGAGGGAGGAGGGGGGGAGGAGGAGGAGGAGGAGGAGGAGGAGGAGGAGGAGGAGGAGGAGGAGGAGGAGGAGGAGGAGGAGGAGGAGGAGAGGAGGAGGAGGAGGGTGGAGGTCGCATGCAAGGAGGGTGGGCCTCGTCTCTCCCCCCCCCTCCCCTGGTTCGCTGTTTTCTCTCTGCCGTGGACGCCGTGGCACCTGGACGGCCCACCAGGCCTCGGTGTGGCATTTTCGCACCCGAGCTCGGGAGCAGTGTTTTGCGATTGTGTTTCGCCTTCTCACGTCTTCCCGCTTCCCACCGGAGGGAGGGAGGGCGCCGGCGCCGGCGGGAACCGCGGCCGAGCTCCGTGATCTTTTGGCTGTGGAAGTCGACCAGTGGAGAGGAAGCGCGCTGCCCCCCCCCCCCCCCAAAAAAAAAGGGGGGGAAACTCTGAGCTCCGACGCCCGCTCGAGCCGGCGGCACGGTTCTGCCGGAGGTTCTCCAAGAGGAGACTCGGGGACCTCGCGCCTGCTCCTTCGCCTCCTCCTCCTCCTCCCGTCCTCCCGTCCTCCCTTCCTCCCTTCCTCCCTTCCTCCCTTCCTCCCTTCCTCCCTTCCTCCCGTCCTCCCTCCCTCCCTTCCTCCCTTCCTCCCTTCCTCCACACGGCCGCCCACCGAAGTCTGCGGCCCACTTGCGCCACATCGATGACGATGACGATGACGATGACGCCGCATCCTCGCAATATCCGCAAGGACTCCTTCAACGCAGACACTGACAGGGAGTTTAGGGGAAGAGGGGGTAGACAGAGTAGGGGGACGGAAGAGCGTATCGTATAGGGTTCCCCGAACAGTGCTCGCACTAAGCGGCTCTCACTTGTGGAATTTGGAACTGTGCCTGCGGTCCTCTCTGGCCGCCATGTCACCACCTCGTCGCCTCCCGTCGCCGCTCGTCGCCTGGGCCTGCGGGCCGCTCTTGCCGCCATATCGCCGCCTCGTCGCCGCCCGCCACCTCGTCGCAACCCGCTTTGCATTGCGTTGCTTTGCATTGCGTTGCATTGCATTGCGTCGCTTCTCGTTGCTTTACATTGCGTTGCAGTGTGTTGCATTGTTTTCTATTGCGTGACAGTGTTTTGCATCGTCTCGCATGGGTTTGCCCTATCTTGCGTAACGCTGTATTGCGCTGCATTGTTTTGCATGGTTGTTCATTGCGTTGTATTGCTTTGCAGTGGTTTATACTGCGTGACATTGTTGTGCATTGCTTTGCATTGCTGTGCATTGCGTTACATGTCGTTGGATTGCTTTGCAATCGCATTGCGTTGCGTTGCTGTGCGTTGCGTTGCCGACCTTCTCTACTTCATAGGCTGCACCACATGGATTGCACCACCTAGCTTGCACCACATTGATTGCACCACCTTGGTTTCACGGCGTACATTATACGTAGACGCTGTTTGGAGTAAAAACTGGCTATCAAAATATTGAAGAGAGCACGGGGAAGACCGCAGAGCGCAGAAAACACATAGCATAGAGTATATAATCAAATGTGTCGAGCCCAGAGTAAGGAGAAGTGGGGATATAGTGAAGAGTGGAGGGTAGAGGCTGCAGGGTGGATTTCATATTGGCACGATATGGTGGCTAACATAGACTGGGGAGTCGGGGGGTACCGAGTAGAACACAGACGGTACAGAGTACAAAATCGAGAATCAAGTGCCAGGATCATCATCTGAATGTGTCTTTGCCCTCGCACACCACCAGCGATTCTCCTCGTTCTCTCAGGCGTAGTTGTGCCGTCTGGGCTGCACTTTACCATGCCACCTGAAGTGAGACACCGCGCGGCCACAGTTGTACTCGTTGCTGCGAAGCATCCGGAAAGCAGGGGTGCGCTTGCTGAGGAGCAACCGCACGTTTCCATGGCGCCAGAGATATGAATGTTTACGACATTGTTGCCGATCGGCTTTGCGAACGGCCCAAAACATGAAGACGTGTAGGATTTCGCGTGTTTCGTTAGGGCCTCATCTTTATCGATCCCCATCTCCTCCAACCTCCGGGTAGTGCCGCTCTCTCGTGCTACGAGAGCTTTCTTCGCCCTCCCAATCCCCGCCCTACTCATCACCGTCCATGGCCAATCTGGCCCAAGACGGGTGCCTCCCTCGCCTGTCACCTTCCATTAGAACAGATCCCGCGAGCGAAACCACAAGTACTTGCGGACGGTATGGCCGGCTACAGAGCGTTGCTGCTTCTCTCAGGCCACAAGAGGGGCAAAAAGAAACAATTCACAACGACCATGCCCACTTTGGGTGGTGCACAGAGTAATCGCCGAACTTGGGCCCATGCTGGGACTGAGCTGTCCTGGTATGGCGCGAATGCGTGAATACATTTACATACGTGTATACACAGATGTATAGATATATAATACCGGACTGCATTGTCGCTTCGCGCCACTGCACTTCGAGTTTTGGCATGCAGACAGGAGGACAATGATGTCAAAAAGAAGATTCAGGGAGACTTCTTTGGCTCATTTTCCAGCATCGTCGTTGTGCCAATGTTATATCCGTCGTCCTTCCCTCATGTTTCCTCTTCCTCTTCCTCATTCTCGCCCTACCCTGCCTATTCGTTCCCATCCTCAGCTGCTGTTTTTTTCCCCCGAAGGCTCATCCTAGGAGAGCCTTTCTGGGGTCCCACGAAAGTTTTTTACAGGCTTGTTCGGGGTTGCTGGAGGGAGCCTCTGGGTGCTTCCCCGAACTACCCTGCTTCCAACCACGGTCTTCCTGAACGACCAGGTCACGATGTGGAATAACTCGGAGGGCGTTTGAGGACCATGTTGGGCCGTCATGGGGCTCTCCTCGGGCCATCTTGGGGCTCTGTTGGGCAATCTCGGGGCTCCTCTTGGACTGCCTGGAAGCCCCCTTTGGTTAACTTTGGGGCGATCAGCTGGCCTTCAGGGCGGTGTCGGACGTCCTGAAGACCAAAGAACGGAGCGCTCCTAAATTCATGCGGTTTTGTGCGTTTCGAATGCTTGGTCGGAGTCTTAGTTGCGTCGTCTTCGGGCGTCTGTTTGGTGTCTGGGGCCCTTGTCGGCTCTCGCGGGGCCGTTCGGCCGCACTCCTGACTGATTTGGGGCAGTTTCCTAGGCCCAGCTGGGGCTTCAGGACCCCCTGACAGCACAGGGGACCGTCTGCAAGGGCGTCCAGGGTGCTCGCGGGGCCAGGTATCTCGGGAGGTCCCATGGCGGGGGGGGGTTGTCGCAGGGTCCCAGAATATAGGGGTAGAGCTGGGTGCGTATATATACATATATATATATGCGTATACATACATATACATATATATATATATACTTACATATACATAGACATAGATATATACATATACACATACATATACATATACATCTACCTATACATCTACATATACATATACATGTAGTACACATACGCACATACACATACATAATCATATACGTACAAATAAACACACTTAACTTTTTATGTATATATACATGTAAACGCATATATATATATATATACATATATATAGACATGCATACATAGGTGTTCACATATGCGTATATATACACACACGTGCACATACATTATATATATATATATATATATATACAGAGACGTATCAGAGTGAGGGGGCCGATCGGCCATTCATTGTCCCTGGGTGCGTGGGTTAACTGGGTTTCCGCGGTGAGGACTGCTGTTGTCGTTGATGAGTAATTCTTATTTCTAAGAAATAAGTGTTGTTGATCCCCCCTGCCCGGTAACCATTGTATGTTTCAATTAAAGTGTTTTTCCCGGGGCTCGCACCTTGTTTTCTTTTAACCGGGGAAAGCGTGGTGTCACCAAATTGGTGCCCTTGGCCCCCGGTTTGCAACAACAGCGGTTCCCGCCTGATTTTTCCTCATCATGTATTCCGCAATCGCGCTCTCGCGTGGGACTTGCTCGCAATGTATTCAAACGCCGCGCCGTCGACACTCAGCAATCACGCTCTGGCGGTTGATTTCCTCACGATTTATCTTGCGCCAGCGCTCGATACATCATTGCGATTCATGCAGTCTTCACGCTTCAGCAACCCGCCTGCTCGACCTGGCCGCTCTGGTCCGCCTTCCCGACCCGCCCGTAAGGCCGACGCGCCCGATTAGCCCGTCAGGTTCTGCCACGTGCTTTCTGCTTCTCGGCCCCGCTCCTGTACTCTCTGTTTCTTTTTTGTGTTGTTTCTCTCTCTCTCTCTCTCTCTCTCTCTCTCTCCTTGCTCTAAATATCTCTCCTGCTGCATCCTCCTCCTTCCCCCATGCTCCTAACTTCCATCCGTCCTCGCGTCCCCTGTCTTAGGGGCTGCACGAAATTCACGTTGCGGGTAAGAAAGATATAGCCCTGATGGGGGTACGATCGAAGACAAAGAGGGCGGACATCGAGCGCTTGGGATATACATGTTGGGTGGCACGCGAGCAGATAAGAACGACCAGTCTGAAAATGATTGTTGATGTTGTTAGTAGTATTCCTGTTGTTGCTGAGTTGCCTCATTTGGAAAGAGTAATGGTTGATCCCTCCCATCCGGTACCAATCGTATTTGTCCATGGGAGTGCCCATCGCGGAGTTCGCACGCTGTCTTTTACCAGAGAAAGCGTGGTGTCAACAAACGGTGCCCTTGGCCCCCGGTTTACCGCAACAACGGTTCCCACTGGATGTTGCCTCACTATTTGTTGATGGACATTCCTCACAAGTTATGCAGGAATCGCGCTATCGCTTGGGACTTCCTTACAAAGTATTCAAACACTACGCCCCCGACGCTCACGAATGGCGCTCCCGCATGGTTTGTTCTCGCGATTCACTTGGGAATCGCTCTATCGTTCGAGACGCCCGCGCGATTAATGCAGTCTTCACGCTTCAGCAACCCGCCTGCTCGACCTGGCTGCTTGGGCCCGCCTTCCCGACCCGCCCGGGAAGGTCCGCCCGATCAGCCCGTTTGGTTGTGCCACGTGTTTTCTGCTCTTAGCCCCCATCTTGCGAATCCCGCGTTCCATCTCTCTTCCCCTTCCATCCGTCCTTTCTTCCCTATGTTTTAGGGGCTGCACCAAGTATACGCGGCAGGTAAGGATGAGATACCCCCCAGGGGAGACACCATCGAAAACGAAGAGGGCGGGTATCGACGGTTTGTCAGTGTTGCTGTTGAACTCTCACTACTGAAGAGCAATTTTTGTTGATCCCCCCTTCTGGTCACCATTGTGTTTTTTCAATATCAAAGTGTGTTGTTGGCCCTGAAGTACAGCAGCAACTGCTCCCGCTTGAGATTTCCTCGCAATTTAGCCAGGACCCCCCCCCCGCTCCCGCCTGAGACTTTTTCGCGTTTACTCAAAAGTCGCGCCCTCGCTTGGGACCTCCTTGCAATGTATGCAGGGATCGCTCTTTCGACCCTCTGGAGTCGCGCTCCCGCTGGAGACTTGCTTGCAAGTTACTCGAGAATCGCTCTCTCTTTCGTTGGAATTTCCTGCAATCTGCACCCAGGGAATCGCGCTCACGCGCAAGAAACCCTCACAATTGTTTTCCGAATCGGGATCTCGCTGCCCTTCGCGGTCGCTCTGCAGCCCTTCGTGGCCCCCCCGTTGCCCTTCATGGCCCAGTTGCGGCTGTTCGTGGCCCCGTCGCTGCCCTGCGTGGCCCCGTTGCAGCCTTTCGTGGCCCCCTCGCTGCCCTTCGTGGCCTCGTTGCAGCCCTTCGTGGCCCCCTCGCTACCCTTCGTGGTCCCGTTGCAGCCCTTCGTGGCCCCCTTGCTGCCCTTCGTGGTCCCTTTGCAGCCTTTCGTGGCCCCCTCGCTGCTTTTCGTGGCCCCACCGCTGCCCTCAGTGGCCCCTTCACTGCCGTTCGTAGCCCGCTATCTGTATGCCCTTCGTGGCCCCCGCTCGTTCGCGCCCGTCGTGGCCCCATATGAATACCCTTCGTGGCCCCGCTGTCGCCCTTCGCGGCCTCTTCGCTGCCCTTCGTGGCCCTACTGCTCCCCTCAATGGTCCCGTCCTTGCCTTCTGCTGCCCGATATACACAAGCCCTTCGTGGCCCCCGCTCGTTCGCGCCCGTCGTGGCCCCATATGCGTGCCCTTCGTGGCCCCGCTGTCGCCCTTTGTGGCCCCCTCGCTGCCCTACGCGGCCCCGTTGTTGCCCTAAGTGGTCCGGTCCTTGCCCTTTGTGGCCCCGTACTATCTGCCCTTCGTGACCTCCGCTCGTTCGCTCCCGTCGTGGCCCCATATGCATGCCATTCGTGGCCCCCTGTCGCCCTTCGTGGCCCCCTTGCTGCCCGTCGTGGCCCCGTTGTTGCCCTTCGTAACCCCGCTGTCGCTCTCGCTCTCGCTCTCGCTTTCGCTTGTTGTCGTCGTCGTCGGTCCCCTGTCCGTCCCTCTTGGGGTCGGGCTGCCGCCGGATTTCCTTGCAAGTTATCCAAGAATCGCGCTCTCGCCTTTGACCTCCTCGCATTTTTTTCCAGCGCCACACCCTCGCCATTCAGGAGTCGCGCTCTCACCTAGGCTTCTTCTTCTTCTTCGTTATTTACTTTATAATCCCACTCTCGCCCGAGACTTCCTGGCGAATTACGCAGCATTCACGCACTCGCGCAACACACGTTTTTCAAGTGAAGTACCTGGGCGGGGACTGGTTCTTCCTCCTCCTCCTCCTCCTCCTCCTCCTGGGTTTCGCTGCGTTCTTACCGAGAACATTCCTGCTCAAACTGTGCCCCTGCTCCCGGTTTGCAGCAACAATGCTCCCTCCGGCTACGCCCTTGCCAATGTATTGAAGAATCGCGCTCTCGTCAGGGACTTCCTCGCAATGTATCGAAGAATCGCGCTGTCGCCTGCTACTTCCTCGCAGTTCAATGTACTCAGGCGTCGCGCTTGCGACACTCAGGAATCGCGCTGTCGCTTGGGACTTCCTCGCAATTGATTCAGGCGCCGCGCCCTCGACACTCAGGAATCACGCTCTCGCTCTGGATTACCTGCCGAGATTTGTTGAATCGCTTCGCTCGTTTCGCCGGCCCACAATTTCGCACCTTTGGCGTTTGCTTTGGGCTTGTCATGAGCGCGGTGTCGAGAGAGTCTTTGGACAAGAGTGTAAGGAGGAGGAGGAGGAGGAGGAGGAGGAGGAGGAGGAGGAGGAGGAGGATAATGACGAGGAGGAGGATGAGGGAGGAGTCTGAGGAGGAGGATCAGGAGAAGATTGAAGGAAGAGGATCAGGAGGAGGAGGAGGAGGATCATGAGGA